GCCCCTCAGAGGTCTTCCCACTGCACTAGAAACTGCTGAGCTTCTCTTCAACCAGGTCTTCCGATATTATGGAATTCCCGAAGACATCGTCTCCGACCGGGGACCTCAGTTTATCTCCAAAGTATGGAATGCCTTCTTCAAACTCCTAGGTGTGACCGTAAGCCTCTCGTCCGGATACCACCCACAATCGAATGGTCAAACGGAGAGGAAGATTCAGGAGGTGGGGTGATTCCTGCGAACCTTCTGCCATGGCCACTAGGATTCCTGGAACCAGTTCCTGGGCTGGGCCGAGTACGCTCAGAATTCCCTGCGACAGCCTTCTACTGGTCTCACTCCCTTCCAGTGCGTGCTCGGGTTCCAGCCTCCACTGTTCCCCTGGTCCGGGGAGCCTTCTGATGTTCCGGTGGTGGACTACTGGTTCCGGGAAAGCGAGAGGGTCTGGGACGCTGCTCACCACCATCTCCAACGGGCAGTGCGCAGGCAGAAGACGGCCGCGGACCTTCGAAGAACTGAAACACCTACCTATCAACCAGGTCAGAAGGTATGGCTGTCAACTCGGGACATCAGACTGCGCCTGCCCTGTAAAAAGCTCAGTCCCAGATTTGTTGGCCCTTTCACCATCCTGGAACAAGTAAACCCGGTCACCTACAAACTCCAACTCCCCTCACAGTACAGAATTCATCCCACGTTCCACGTATCACTACTTAAGCCTCACCATGAACCTGTCTCTCTCCACAGAGCCTGGCCAGACGGAGGAACCCCCTCTTCCCTTGATCCTGGATGAAGGGTCTGTCTACAAGGTGAAGGAAATTCTGCAGTCCCGGCGCCGTGGTGGTCAGCTGGAATACCTCGTGGACTGGGAAGGATATGGACCCGAGGAACGCTCATGGGTACCTAGGATCGATATATTGGACCCCGCCTTAATGTCTGAGTTCCATGCTGCCCATCCTGATCAGCTGGCACCTCGGGGCAGAGGTAGACCACCACGACGTCGGGGTTTTCGGCCCTCAGGTAATTGAAATGCCCTTCATGTAGGCCACTTCTGCCCAGTCCTACAGAGAGAGTGAGAAGTTCAGCTCTACATCTATGAATGTCACAGATTAATGAATATCAGTATTCATAAAGCTCATCAAAACTCAAAATCTCTTATTCATGTGTTGATGTTCATTCATTCTTGCCACAACAAGCTGAAATATAAATAAATTAATTAATAAATGAGTAAAAACCGCATATACTTACATTGAAGGACTGACCTGAGCTACTGTATATCTACTGTAGAGACTAAAATATCACAGGGACTTGAGTGTGAGCTAATAAGTAATCACTTGGAACACCTGGCAACCACATAGCAACATGCTTACAACCATGTAGAATATCTTTGCAACTGCATAGCATCACCCTGGTGCTTGACAACCACCTGCAACTCCTTAACATCATGGCTGTTTTGTATGGACAAACATCACATACATTTTCTTCTGAAAATTTAAAAATATAGTTTAGGATTTTTCTGGAAAATAAAACAAAAAACTATATAATGGCATTAAGCCGTCCATGACATGTGGTGAAAAAACAAGATACCGTAGCCTCAAATCCATAATTTGGTCCCATGACTTATTCCTTCATTTTAGTTCAATTGTGGTCATGATTTAAATAAACTAAAACTCGGGATTGATTTATTAATACGTGACCACAATTTAACTCAATCGAGGGAACAAATTAGTACAACATGGCCACAATTTAAAATGAGGGAACGAATTAGTAAAACAAGGCCAAGATAGAACTAATGCTGTGTTCCATTTGTACTCGGAAGTTGGAAATTCTGAGTTCCCAGTAGGACAGGGGTTTCCAACCTTGGTCCTGGAGGGCCGGTGTCCTGGAGAGTTTAGCTCCAACTTGCCTCAAGACACCTTCCTGGAAGTTTCTAGTATACCTAGTAAGACCTTGATTAGCTGGTTCAGATGTGTTTAATTAGGGTTGGAGCTAAACTCTGCTAGACAGTGGCCCTCCAGGACCGAGTTTGGACACCCCTGCAGTAGGACTTTTAACTTGAACAACCCTCTTAAATGGGTGGTTCAGTGTTTTTTTTTCTAGGCTTTTTTCTTGTGTTTATGGGCAGTCTAACATCTTTTTTTTTTTAAAGCATTATTTTTCACATAATTTACCTTTATTCCACACAGCTCTGTCCCTTCTCTGAGAAACGCGCTGATCAATTTCCTGCTTTTATGAAGCCCCTCCCTCAGAAATAGGCGATGGGCTCTGATTGGTTAGATTTTTTAAAATAGGCATGCAGGTGCACTATCCAAACTTAAATTGTTGGAACTATCCAAACTTAAACACTTTGGAATTAAATTTTGTAATGACACTTGACACTGCCCACTAAAGGGGAGGAGACTGCCAAAAGATTTTAAAGTACCATTTCCATGGTAACGCAATGTCCAATTTCAAAATGATTTTCATAGGATGAATCTTGGGCTTCTAAGCTTTCAAATTATATATGATTTATGATGATTACTAAAAGATTTGATAGAGAAAAAGGACAACAAAAAAAGAGCACCAAGTGTCCCACAGGTGGGACGGTGACAGTTAAGGTTAAGTCAAAGTTCTTTCTCGGAAACTTGGAGGAGCTGCAACACTCCTGGCTTCAGAATCAAAAACGGCTGCTCAGTGCATCAACAGAAGAGAAACAGTGGTAACTTATTGTTTATTAGCACTTCTGTTTGTCTGTCTCAATAAACCCAGTGGTGCACACAGTACTATCCAACGTCTATCTGTGTACATGATTCTTCAGTACTATCTATGCAATATACGGCGTTTTAAAATTTTTATTGCCTGTTGCACTAACAATGGACACGTCCATCTTGGTTTTTTGTCTTTTGTACTGGAAGCAGAGATGGTCTTATTATTGAGAGATACCAGGATCTGCGAATCTATCCTTTGGAGAAAGCATAACAGCAAACTTGGATGTGCCTTTATAACCAATAATTTACAGTCTTGACATCATTGAATTTCTGTCGTGCAACAGTTGTGCGACAGCCAATCACTGTTTTTTTTTTTATTCTAACTTTTTTAAACTGTCTGTCTTCTCTAATAAAACTGCATTTTTTCGGTGTATACTCCAAAAATAGATAAATCCAAAACAAATGTTCGATGGAAAACATGTTGAAGATACTATTGAAGTCAATGGCTACCGTCAACTGGTTGGTCACCAACATTCCTCAAAATATCTTATTTTGTGTTCAACAGAAGAAATAAACTCATACAGGGTTGAAACAACATGTGGTGAGTAAATGGTGACAGATGACTACCACATTTTGTGGTGAACACCACATTTTCCAGTTTTATATGAATGGATTTTAGTACTTCTTTATTCACTGCATCACCTGTGGACAGTTTTAAGCACACCTGCGGATACAGTAGCTGCAGACTTTTTCTAGCCTCATATGCACATGGACACTCTTTGCTGTTTGTTCAGCCAACTTTAGTCAGACTGTTGTCACATCTGGCTGTGAGTGCTTGTGGAGAAAGAGTTTCAAACTGGCAAAGTGTGGGCAGGCTACGGTGAGCAGAAAAGATCCGTCTTGGCATTTCACGCTTGTTGTTTTCTCCAAGCAGCCTCAAGCCCACTGCTTTCCTGATGTGATGCATTCAGGGAACACTGAGTGGAGTTTGGGGACAGGTGTTGGAACGCTGGGTGTCTGTACCGGGGCTGTCTCGCACGACTCTACTGCAAGGTTAATCTGAGGACTACACAATCTAGTCAGTCCCTGTGGACTGCTGCTGGTCTGACACTGGAAAATGCATTGATAGCTCAATAGCTATTTTTTTTCTTCTGTTTTCTTCCAGCAGCTTACATATTCATTATTAAAAGCTTTTTGGCTGATGTCTCTTTCAGAGTGTCAATGCAGTCCTCAAGGGAGGGTTGTAGGCAAACATGCATAATGCATGTGAAGTGTAATCTCACATTGGCAATCACTCCATCTGTCCTCTGGCACTGGACGAGACCGCAGGCTCTGACGTAAGGCTGCATTCTTACTTAAGAGATATTTGCTAGGATGTACTCAAGTGTAAATGTGCTCATAAAATGGTGTCTCACAAGGACAAGCAATCAATCAAGCATCAAGTAAATAAGTTTCTTGCATGGTTCAATGTTGTCTCACAAAATAGATATTTAATTATGTTTAACTGTATTTTCATTAATTGTATTTTTATTTCATTTTTATATTCTAATTTATATTAAATGCATATTTAATTTAGTTTAATTGTATTTTATTTTATTTATTAATTTTTATTTTTATTAAAACATAACTATTAATTTTATTAAGGGCATGTTTGTTTATTTTTGTTTTATTTATTTTTATTTAATTGTTTTTTTGTTTTTTTTGCTTTGTGTGCAATATTTTGCCCCCAGTATGCATATAAAGCAACTTTTTTTGTGAATGAAAATAAATGATCAGTTTAAATCAAGATTTGAACTTTGTCACTATAATAAAATAAAGACTACTATAAATTGTTTTTGGTAAAACATATTAAACGATAGATAGATAGGTTAACATGAGCTCCATTTTAATATAGCCTAAATAAATAATAAATGTATAATCATGATCACTGGCACCTTAACTGATGAATTCTTGGAATAACAGATGAAATATAGGGGGAAATGGATTTATGGTTAATTTGGGGGGTTAAATAGCCTATTTGATTATCTGATAATCTGTGATATGATGTTACTGTATTTGTGCAGTAGGCCTATTAGTGTAGGTACTGTACATGTGTAGGCTAATCGTATTTGTAATGCATATTCTTTTATTTTTGTTATCTGAATTGGAACCACTCGAGCATCTTCATGATAAAATAACGCACCTGTAGGGGACGCTAGTGGAGTCTACAGTATTCACTACTAAGTGAACATGGCAGGCTTTCTGTTGCTGTCAGAGCGTTCGCTGTATGCTTTGATACGCCTCGTGCTCGTGTGATTGGCTGTGGGGTCAGTGGGCGTGGTTTGAGCAGCGCTTCGTTCATATAGAGCAGGAAGCGCTCGACCACAGAGAAACAGACGGCTTGAGGAACGTGAGCGAGGGTTGATGTAGGGCGCTTAGAGAGGAGGACAGTGAGAGCTGTTTGTAGTGCTTTTCGTACAGGACGGGTAGACCAAAGACAAAACACCTCTCCAAAATGCTCTGCCATGTAACACGGCCGGACGCGGTGGTGATGGAGATTGAAGTGGACGCAAAGGCGAACGGAGAGGACTGTCTGAATAAGGTAAGATGATGAATGAAACAATCCTCAATGTGAAATAGATGTGATGTTTATTATTAAACGTTTGTGAAGCGTGTATTTTGTCCCATCAGCCCTAGTGCATTACTATAGGAAATAAGCACAAATGTTGAAAAACAAAAGCTGTTACCTGAGCGCGGAATGAATGAGTTTATATGAAGCACATGGAAACTTAATATCAACATCAATCTGTGAGATTGTTGATCTCACGCGTTTATTTAGGTAAACATGAGTAGTTGTATTTAGCATGTTCTTAAAGTATTTTTAAGTCAGATTCGAGCATTTCTTTCGTTAGATCATTCAGACAAATAATCAAATGTTATGCTTTATATATAATTCTGTTGTTCCAAACAAAAAAAGATCTTGCATGATTATTAACAGATACAGTGTGTTGAAGGTTAAACGTTTACATTATTATTTTCAGAGAAAGATACATTTGGATACTCTGAACAATAGTGCGTGCATGTGTGATGGCATGCTGGAGGTTACTAAAGTTCATTCGCTTCAGCAGCAGATGTTTGGCCCGTGTATGGAGATACTACACCTCCTCCAATGTAAATGGCAAAGTGAAAGGTTTTTCGACACGTTATAGTTTTTAATAAATGTTTTAGGGACATCTCTGAAGTTGTATGTCTGATTTGACAGAAAACGCAAACGTTTTATTCTAGCACTAATTTAGAAAACAGAAATACAATTAGAGGGGAATGTTGCGTTTTCATGACGATGTAATGAGGCTTAAATTAGTGAATTAATTTCGCTTGTGTAAGCATGCCATCTCAGGATATTTTCATGAACTGTACAAACTTTATTTCCGGCTATAGCATACTACGATGTTATAGGCGGAAATAAAGTTTCTACAGTTCATGAAAATATCCTGAGATGGCATGCTTACACAAGCGAAATTAATTCACTAAGGCACCATTTTGTCTCACCGGACTTCAGATTTGCTCTTTAAAGGGATTTTCTCGCCTCTATTACATTACTGAGACTCTGGGGGGAAATAATCACCTCAGACTCTTGGTAAAAAAAAAAACTCTAAAATAAAAATCTAACCCATTGTTTGTTTTTGATCTTGATTTGTTCAAATAAACCACAACATGTTATCTGAATTGTGCTTATATTGTAAAATAAATACATTTAGCTAAGTTTATGGTTAAAGGAAATGTTCATCCACAAATAAGGATGAGTAAATGATGACAGAATAGTCATGTTAAAAAACAAAAACAAAAAAAAAAGCAGAAAATGATTTATGTGACACACAAAAGGAGATGTTGGGCAGAATGTCCAGGCTGCTCTTTTCCACACAATGAAAGTCGATGGGGACAAGTAAACAGATTCTGATTTTTAACATAGTGTGATTCTTTGTTGGTGACAGGTATGTCGGAAGCTGGGAATTATTGAGGTGGATTACTTTGGGCTGCAGTTTTCTGGCAGTAAGGGAGAAAACCTGTGGCTGAACCTGAGGAACAGAATCTCCCAGCAGATGGACAATCTCACGCCCTGCAGACTACGGCTCAGAGTAAAGTTCTTTGTGGAGCCTCACCTTATTCTGCAGGAGCAAACGAGGTACATACACACATGTGTATTATAAAAAAGAAAATTATAAATGGATATTATTTGAGGAAGTTGTGACTGAGAACATTTCATCATCGTCTGTGAATAGAGACATTTTTAAACTTCAGTTTAAATACTGTGAGAATAGATTTCAGAAGAAGAACGACATCTGAGCATGTGGGTGTATGAATGTTTTGTGTGATATTAGTGGAAGTAACGCCATTTCTCCTCCATTCACTGTGTCTAATGTAAATTCCATGCCCGACTTGAGCTATATCTTGTTTTTGGAGTGTGCCTGTGTTAAGATATAACCGCAAAAAATCTAGGGCATGTTACATATTAAATATTCATTTAACAACGCTGGTTTTTGAGTGTTCTTTCAGCTTCACATCAGCTGAAGTCATGTGTGTTAGGTAGAGAAAGAGAGAGAGCACTTTGCACAGTAGCCTGTAAAGTTTTTTTTTCTGTCAGTACAGTGGTTTGCCCTGTAGTAACCCTGCTACCTGTGGGTTACTGTAGGTCGTGGTGCTATGAGCGGCAGCAGGAAATGTGATCCCCTGCTCAAAGGGTCCTACCCACAGAGACTGAGCTGGCAGAGTCACCACCAACTCGTGCTCTTTTATTCGCTGTAACTGTGGAGTTTTGTTACTTTTCTTTGTTTGAGACCAATGTGGAGCACAGCTTAAAGGACACAAGTTTACAAGTTAAACTCTAGTAACAGCATATGTGGCATTCATGACCCAAGTTATTTTATAAAAAAAGTTACATTTAAAGTATAGTAAAACACAATAAATGTTACAACACACATTGTTTCGAAAGTATAAGCACAAGATAATTCACCAAAAATGAAAATGCTGTCATTCACTCACCCTCTTGTTGTTTCAAACCTGTATGACTTTCTTTTTTGGAAAACAAAACAAGGTATTTTGAAGAATGTTGGTAACCAAACATTTTTGGTGATCATTGAGAAAAAGGCATTTCTTGAAATGTCACTTTCTCTCGGCTGAACAGAAAAGATGATAAGTAATACAGTTTTGCAACCATGAGTAAATAATATTTTTTTTGGGTGAACTGTCCCTTTAAGAATTATGTGCAAAAAACGAGACTAGTGTGATAGAATCGCTTATCCTTGTCCGTTTAGTTGTATCCTATTTTCATATGCATCTTGTATTCTTGCAAAGAATCAATGTTAACTAAAATAATTTTTGTTAAATGAAATAGCTAAATATTAGAACATTTTAAACTTAAAAATATTACCTTTGTAGTTAACTGAAAACTAAAATTACTCAAACTTAAAACTACATAGAACTGTTATATAAATATGGGGAAAAAAGAAATATAAGCATGTTACAAAATTACTAAAACTTGAAAACTGAAAATAAAAAATTAAGAATTCAGAATTGATTTTTAATAAATACTATAAAAATATATAAATAACACTAAAATAACGCTGGTAGGAATTCATATAAGTGCTTTAAAAATCAGAGCTTCACATTTTAACCCTCAAAAGTGCAACTGCTGTTTGCTTACAAACAAGGTTGGTAAGTGATTCTGTCACTTTAGTCTTGTTGTTTTGGAAATAGTATATTTTAACATTTATTGTGTTAGCCTGTGTGCTTTTATTATAAGTCCCAGACTGTAACCACTGTTTACTGTAATAGAGTTAATTTTTTTGTGTGGTAAGGGACATTCTGCCAAAAATTCCATTCCTGCATTTCTCGGAAATTAAATTGCCCATTATTTTCCCTTTCTTTTCTGAACTAAAATTGAAGAAATTAAAGCTTTGGATGGGGTTCTGGATTAACAATTCAAAAATGAAATTAAGCCATCAGTCCGAGGATTTGAAGCACTCCAGGAGTCGACTTCCTCCCCAGAGATAAATTGACTGGGTAGTTAGGTCCTCCTCCGGTCTCTGCTTTTGGAGCGCTGCGTTCTGTGTTCTACTGGGGCCTTTTCAATAAAATGAAATGGGCTTGCATGCCAGATCCCACTGGCACCCATATCCATGCGTCCTCTGGGCAGAGCGACTCTGGCAGGGCAGTGTGCATATGTATGCTTGCTTCTGTTTCCTGGACAGTGTCCTTTTTTGTAATTTAAAAGCCACTTTTTTTGGTTTAGATGGTCTTCTGGTGACCTGAGAGAGATTAGCGAGGGTCACTGACAGATGGCGGATGGGAAGATTGAAGGATTTTTGGGGGGGGAAAGTTGGACTGGCAATTAAAAGTTGCACGTGTTTCGACTTCTTGATGTGGGGTGGACCGTGGAGGGACGTCACACCCCCAGAGCCGCCACATGTAATTTTATTCAAGCTGTTAAGGCACCCTGGACGGCCTTCCAAATGGGCACAAAAACTGCTTACAGTGTGTGAAAGTGTGAAGGCTGACGTGTTAGGAAAATCTGAGATGGCGGGGATTGAGACTGTTTCTCAGTCGACATCACGATGAGAGCGAAGCTTTGATCAGGATCAGGTCGTTGTGCCCTATATGTGGCAGGAGCTGGCAGTGTTCAGAATGGAACATATTGCTTGCTGCACAATGTACACTCAATAATGCCTTTTTATAGAATGTGGGAAGATTATACATTCATAAACATTTCAAACTGTAGAATGCTATGCTGCCACATGACCTCATTGTAGTTTTTTTTTTCTCCCCCACAAGTGGCATCCAGCTATTGCAGAAAAGAGTTTTGTGTAAAAACAGCCTTAGCCAGGAGAATGTGAGAAATTGTGGCTAATATTGCTTAAAAAGTACACTAGCATTTTAAAAGTTTGGGGTCATTAAAATTTTAAATTAAGATTTTGTCTCTTGCTCACTTAAAATTAACCGTTTTCTATAGGAATTGGTGATTGTCTGCTATGTGTGTGTGTGTGCGTGTGTTGTCTGATTGATAAAATATATATTTAAAATTATTTTTGATTTTAGTATTTAATTTTGAATAAATTTAGATGAAATATTATAGAATTTTAATATCTGCCATTTGAAAATAATTATCTACTAATCATATCAGCCAGAATTTTTATATTCCTGCATTCCTCTAAAAACACAAAGTATGAAACACTCTCTTTTTGTCAAAGTAAACCGTACAAGAGTAATAGACTAATTGAAGAAAGTGTTGTCCATAGCAGAATATAGATGGCTGCCTGGCATTTCTGAGTGTAATGCAGGTTGCTGTCGCATGAAAACAGCCCTTTGTTCACTCTTTGGCACTGTTGTAGATTTGTGTGTGTGCACATGCATGCATGATGCGACCCAGCCTCCAGCTACAAGGGTCATGTTCCCTAACCTTGTTTGTGCAATAACCTCTGCCCTGCTTCGACACTGCATTCCACTGCTCATCGCATTGACTGGCAGTGATGGCATGCATTCACCACACACTCATACAAATGCACCCCGAAGCCACATGGTTTTCCCCACAGAATCTTTTTAATTGGGAATCGTGTATGCACATGAAGACTGTCATTCTCTCTAATCATTTTGTGTCTGGTACTTTTGATATTATCTCTCCCCCACAAGTGGCATCCAGCTATTGCAGAAAAGAGTTTTGTGTAAAAACAGCCTTAGCCAGGAGAATGTGAGAAATTGTGGCTAATATTGCTTAAAAAGTACACTAGCATTTTAAAAGTTTGGGGTCATTAAAATTTTAAATTAAGATTTTGTCTCTTGCTCACTTAAAATTAACCGTTTTCTATAGGAATTGGTGATTGTCTGCTATGTGTGTGTGTGTGCGTGTGTTGTCTGATTGATAAAATATATATTTAAAATTATTTTTGATTTTAGTATTTAATTTTGAATAAATTTAGATGAAATATTATAGAATTTTAATATCTGCCATTTGAAAATAATTATCTACTAATCATATCAGCCAGAATTTTTATATTCCTGCATTCCTCTAAAAACACAAAGTATGAAACACTCTCTTTTTGTCAAAGTAAACCGTACAAGAGTAATAGACTAATTGAAGAAAGTGTTGTCCATAGCAGAATATAGATGGCTGCCTGGCATTTCTGAGTGTAATGCAGGTTGCTGTCGCATGAAAACAGCCCTTTGTTCACTCTTTGGCACTGTTGTAGATTTGTGTGTGTGCACATGCATGCATGATGCGACCCAGCCTCCAGCTACAAGGGTCATGTTCCCTAACCTTGTTTGTGCAATAACCTCTGCCCTGCTTCGACACTGCATTCCACTGCTCATCGCATTGACTGGCAGTGATGGCATGCATTCACCACACACTCATACAAATGCACCCCGAAGCCACATGGTTTTCCCCACAGAATCTTTTTAATTGGGAATCGTGTATGCACATGAAGACTGTCATTCTCTCTAATCATTTTGTGTCTGGTACTTTTGATATTATCTTTGAAACCATGTGAACGTCTTGCAACATTAATGTGAACGAACATCCCCAGAGAACCAAAGCCGTTCCAGAGAACCAAAGTGCTGATTTACAACTGAAAGTGAACTCATGAGCACACATGCACATTATGAACAGGCGCAAGAGGGGTTGATTCAACATTTGCTGGAAGAGACAAAAAAGTACTGTGACAGAAATATGGTTCAGTGACTGTATGGAATTGGTAATTCCATGGTACTGATTGATTACCATATTTGTGTATTATATTGTTGCTGTAACATACTTAAGTCAACATATAACAGCCTTTACAATTAATTTTGCTTCTGTGATATGGCATATTTCAAAGAGAAATGGGTATATAATGGAAAAAGGGATGGGACTAATATTTATCCTTCAGGAATTGATTGGGTCTTGAAAAAAGTGGGGATTACTGACCAAGGGGTGATACTTTTTTCTTGAGTATGATAAATATACTTTCTGACTTTCTGACTGCCCATGACAAAAAGCAAAAGATTTGGTGTGCCTTGACAGATTCTGGAGTCGGAAATGTCAGAATGAGAAAGGGCCGCGCATCGACCCCTGCTGCACCTCAGCTCCAGTTCAGGACTAGAACTCTGCTCGGGATTTCACACGTTCTCTACTTCCTTTCTATCTCTGTCTGT